CTGACCATGTCTGATTAACAGTACGCATAATACACACACACACTCACACACACACTCACACACACACACACATATATATATATATATATATATATATATATATATATATATATATATATATATATATATATTTCTTACAGCCCCCCGCCAAAATAACTCATTATCTTATATATATCTAACCCATCTTGGGGTATTTTATTTATTTTTATTTTATTTATTTTTATTTTATTTTATTTATTTTTTTTGCCGTAAAAAATACATAAGCTCTTTTATAATAAATACATCGGGTTTTAATAATTAATATTACTATTACACCGGATCAACGGATCGATTACCTGTAATATATATATATATATATATATATATATATATATATATATATATATATATATATATAAGGAACATTGAATTCATGACTTCAGAGGCGGCAGGCTGTTTCATACTGGACGCAATCTCATGAAACAGTCTGTCGCCAATGTTCTCTTTTATATTTACATACGTCCCATTCTGATATTGAGCACTTTATACCATAAATATACCACACCTTAAAACTGTATTTCTTTATATATATAGTGAAGGCATTATTTTGTCATGATATTTGGTAATCGAACACTGTACAGGGAAAAGCGGTTTCATTCGCTTCCGAAAATGATTTTTGATTAGTGGACATATTCAGATTTTTCCGCAATTCCAAGTCGATTTATTGATTCTAATTTCCGTGACAAAAACTCTACTACTACTACTACTACTACTACTACTACTGCTGCTGCTTTTGCTGCTACTACTACTACTGCTGCTACTATGAATAATAACAATATTAAGAATAATAACAAAAATATGCAAGTTCAGTGAAGATAGTTCTGGAATATTAAGGTGACTTGCTGCCGCCTGTTCTCTGATAATAGTACCATCAACCCAACTACCATTAATAATACTATTAATACTACTGCTACCAGGGATGGATGAGTAGCGTACCGGTTATCGGCGACGAAAGCGAAGTCTATCAGCCGTGTTCAAATCCCAGCATGGCCTGCTGCATTCACTTTCGCGCTTCGGAAAGGCACCCAGTTCTTCTCCCTCCGGCTGTGTGTTAAATAGCAAACAGTATAAAAGAAGGAAACATTTGTATTTCAAATCACAGAAAAACTAACAGGAAACCACTACCCTATCTCTACCAAGAAATCATGGCAATTCACAGATTAAAAAAAAATCTATGAAGTGTCATGCTTTCCTACCTCCTGGTTGAACATATGCAGTTAATGTTAGTAATATTATTAATGTAGTTACCATTGATAACACACCTACTAATAATAAAAATTTAATATCGCTACTATTAATAATATTACTAATATAGCTACTATTAATAACAATAAGTTTAATATATCTACTATTAATAAAACTAATAATATAGCTACTATTAAGATATATAGATAGTATTAATAGTATTACTTAAATTATTAAAACTACTAATAAAACTATTAAAACGACAATTATTAAAACTATTAATAAAATATTAATATTGGTTCTATAAAGAATATTACTAATTAATATATATAGCTACTACTATTAAAATTTACTAATAGAGCTACTATTAATAATATTACTAAAATGTCTACTATTAATATGACTATTAATATACTTACTAATAATACTACTACTATTATAGCTACTATTGATAATATTACCTAAATGGCTACTATCATTAAAATACTAATATAGCTAATGTTAATAAAACTATAAATATATCAACTATTAATAAACGTATTAATATAGCTACTATTAAAAATGTGACTAATATAGCTACTACTACTAAAACTATAAATATATCAACTATTATTAAAAGCTATTATTAATAATACGACTAATAAGGCGATTGATATGGCTAGGCTACTTTTAATAATGATACTGTAGGCACGGTGAAATAATAGATAGCGGCTTAGATTGAGTTCGAATTCCGGTCGAATTCATTATATTTACTTACTCTTGGGAAAGCTATGAATCTTCTTCTTCAAGCTATGGGCAATTAGCAGAAATGACCTGGTTCTACAGCCTTGGATGGCAACTGATCTAGCGCAGAAAGAAATGGTAACCTACTGCGGGAAAAAATCTGCCTCGTCAGATATCGAAAGATACATAATCGCCTAAGCGTGTATCACGCATGGCATATAAACTGACTGAATATAGCTATCATTAATAATACTATTAGCTCACTGAAAACAATTTTAATATCGTGGATAACGGAGAGTTTTTGAATATACAGGAACGTCTGAATTAATTTACTTGGTTTTTGCACGAAAGCATTAAATTTTATACAAGGGGTGGTAAATAGTTCCCCACTCGACCCATAAGGAATTTCAGAAAATGTCCAATGTTTAGGAATTTGATCATATTTTGTGAAGTGGGTCGCGCCAGTTAATTTTCAACGGGTAAAATGAATAATTTGATCTGAAAAAAAAATCTCATTCTTTGTTAAAATGTTGCTATACACTGCTACTAATGAGAATTAGTACCAATACTGTAAGGAGAATGAAAAAAATAACCTTTTTTTTTATCGTACTTTATAAACTTAGTTGAAAACAATGATATTCCGAAAGTAACCGCTCTACATTTTGTAAATGATTAATTGTAGGCCCGTGACTAAATGTTCTCGCTTCTCGGGCTTAAAAGCAATTCATTATACGGAAATAAACTACAACACATTTGAGAATATGTGCAGTATTATTTCTAAATATAAGACGCACCGGTATATAAGACGCACTTTTATTTTGAAGACAATGTTTTGGGAGGAAAATGCCTATAAAGTCGTATTTGAAATATTCTTATTGAACAAAATATCCAATATGACAATTTTAAAATTTAGTACAGAATGATTTACTAAGCGTAACTGTGGCACAGTGATGAAATTAAGAAGCACCTAGTGAGGATCAAACTAACTATGAAGATGAAACTGACCCTACGAGGCAAGCAGGCTAACCATTTAAGCCATATGGAAGTATGCCGAGATTCGAAAAATTAGTATTTATTGTTCTAAACAAAAAAGCGCTCAATTTTGTATTGTTATGAATATCATATTCAAAAGAACTTAACGATTCATGCGTATTTAAATATATTTAAATATGAGAAACTAACAAACTGTAAAGTTAACAGAAAGTAAAGAAACCCACAGCTAACTTTACTTTATATTAAAATATATTTACAACGGTACTGTGTATATCATATTTAAACCTATTTAGATACATACATTTACATCTATCTATCTATCTATCTATCTATCTATCTATCTATCTATCTATCTCAGTCAGTTTATATCTATCTATCTATCTATCTATCTATCTATCTATCAATACAAACACACACACACACACACACATATATATATATATATATAGGTAAGATGAGAACGAATAGAGCGCAAATCCAAAGTTCGTAACATTTAATTCAATACAGAGTAGAGCAATATTATTTATTTTAAAATATTACAGCGAAAATATGCAAAAATCGCTAAACATTAGAAGTCAGAAGTTGATGCGTATCAATGCATCTCAACAGGCGATTGTAAATTATTCGCCTGATGAGATGCATTGATACGCATCGAAACACTAATTCATAGATAATTACATCGATCACACAACTACATGCCTATACAGACGCCTCACGTTACACCTATCTGACGAAAGCTCTATTAGACTCCATTTAAACACACACACAAACCTACCAGACTCCATTCAAAACATACTAGTAGAAAACACAAATATAATAAACTCATCCACCTATAAAAAAAGATTAAAAATAATGGAAGTCCTAATAATAAAAATGTTAAAGCCAACACTTAACAATATTAACTACGAACAAGGCCATAATGTGCTAACCGTGTTCGGAAAATAAGATATTTCTTTAACACTAAAAACATACACATAACGCACACATTCAATTAAACAGAAAAAATAAAATCATCCTTGGTAATGGCGAAAAGTATAGTCGAAAGTACTCGGAGTTTTTACACACTCTGTGTCCAAAAAAGAAAGCCCTTTTTCGAACACGAGAAAATTAAGTAAAAGCTTAATCATAGTACGTTGTCTATCGTTTTGAATGAAACATGCATAAATGAAGAATTGCTACCTAAATACACAATAAATAAATATATATATATATTTTTTTTTACTGAACGAAACGTAGTTTGTAAATCTCGACAAAAAATGTTAGCGATGACTTCAACAGCGTCAAAATAAAATTCTAGCACATAAAACAAAATGAAAACTTTTCTTTAACAACTCCTTTTTGTCACTCTAGAGACGAAACGTTTTGATGAACAAATGTTTTTCTTTTGTCCTTATTTATATTGTCTTATTATATCTATATTTTATTTATATCTGAATTTTTACACACATACACACTCATACGGACACACGTGCGCGTATTTACACGGGGTACACACATGCATACAAACATATATACACAGACTTATATATATATATATATATATATATATATATATATATATATATATATATATATATATATATATATAAAGTTATATTAAACAATACAAAGTCTGTTTTATTATTTTTTTACAATTTCCGATTTTATGTCAGAATTAAAATTGGTATTTCCAAAGTAAATTTATTTCTTTTCAATCCTAAGACTTTCGACTTAATCTCATCTTGATAAAGAGTGTAGTGTTATCGGTTTCTAAAACAAAATAAACTTCGGAATATTTACCAATTTTAATTCTGACATAAAACAACTTAGTCGGAAAATGGAACAAGTTTAGTAAAACTTTGAATAGACAGACAATATCTATATTGTTTTTTAAAACAAAAAAGTATTTTGAAGAAATTTCTTTTTGTCTAAAAAAAACTTATTTAAATAATAGGCACACACACACACACACACACACACACATATATATATATATATATATATATATATATATATATATATATATATATATATATATATATATAGTGTATTTGGGCAGTAATCTTTTTATACAAGTTTAA